GTTAATTTGCTGTACGCAGTATCGTTTTTCCGTCTGACTTAATAGTGAAGGGCGTCCGCCTTTATCTTTTTCTCGATCAGTAACGTGCTCGCGATCAATTCGATTGATGAGAGTGTGACTAATTTGAGTCTCCGAAGCTACCTGACGGTTGCTTTTGCCTGTTTGAAGAAGTGAAATAATATTTTGTAATTGGTCATTCGTAATTTTGCGCATCTGTAACAAATTTTCTGTAGGTGCTTGTAGCCATTCCCAAATTGAGTTTAAAACTTACCTTAAAATGTAGTTAGCTTTAAAACAGCTGAAAATTAATTTTGGCTCGTTTTTATTCGATACATGACCGAGTTGTGGTTCATTTTTAAATATTTTCAATGCCTTCCAAAACTGGAAACATGTACAGGTCAAGTTCAATTGAATACTGTGATCGCCAAAATGTACGTCTACTTTCCAAAATTATGTGAAAGGTAGTCCATGAGATGTTTATGACCTCCAAAAATTATAAAAGCTTTAGCATTTGTTTTCAAAGCATAGTAGTTGCTACATTACAAAATTTCTAAACATGTTTCCAGTTTTGGAAGTCACTGTATACTATACTTACATTGGCCATTGTTGACCCCATGTTAGAAACAACAGCAGTTTGTTGTACTTCTGCTGCTGTTTGAGTCCGATTGCGATGGAATTGTCTTCTCACATTCTCCTGGTGCGTTATGATACGCGTGGCCAGAACGGAGGCTTGATTCTCTCCAAGCTGGTGAGTATCCGGAAGACCAAACGTGTGGATTTTTTCCAGGCGAAAATGGTTCAAGATATGGTTGTAAATATCGAGATTTGTTCCCACGAACAAAGTTGAATTAACATCCCATGCAGGCAGATTTAATTCCCTACATGCACGCCTGTAGAAAGCTCGAATCAGGGCCTACAGATGGCAATATTAAAATGATGTACTGATATTTTTTTAATAGATAGATAGGTATAATTCTACACTCTGTTGAGAATCAGTTCCTATTCTTTCACCAACACGTCGATTTCCTCGTTCATATGCATCCATAAGACCCTCGAGCACAGCAATGCGTTGGTTATCACCAGTACGTCTTCTAGGAGGGGCAACAAAGGCAGGTGCTGCAGGTTGAGCGGATTGCACCACGGGGGTACCGTTTGCGCTGTAAGTAATGTTATTTGTTGTGTTACTTGCCATATTATTTTGTAAAGAAGCGTAAAGAACAATATTATTACTGTTTGGATCTACACTTATAATTAGGCCGTTTTTTGCACACAATAAACTTGTCACAGTAAAAAAAAAATCAATCCTTTCATCTTTCTTTTATTTTATTCCATCTCTTTCTTTGACTTTCTTTTTCTTTTCCTTTTTTGTAAAAAAAAAAAAAAAAAAAAAGTTTTTTTCTGTAAGTAATATTCTTTTATTTTATAAGAGTTAACATGTCAGCTAACATTACTCTTGTATCGTGTTCAATTAAAAGAGGTAACCAGCCCAGGCCTACATATGTCCCTATAGTAAGAACCTTAAAAAATGCCACGCCTCTCATTCGAAACTAATCGTCCTCCTGCCTTTTTTTTTCTATGACAGTTCTTGTTTCCTCTACATTGTCATAACGCATTGTCTCCTTTCTCTTGGCCTTAATCCCCTTCGTTGGCTCTCTCTTAACAAAATAACAGGCTTTCTTTTTACTTGCGTCATTACTCGGGCATCCTTTTTTTTTTTTTAAAAAAAAAAACTGGTAAGATAAGCACTCCTTCTGAAACGTGTCGAAGACTGACAATCATCTTTTTATAGATGCCTACAAGACTCTGGTTACTACTGGCTTTTTGGCACGGCTGGCTTACGTATGGTTGCCTAATGCACCACGACAATAAGAGGTAACGTCAACATGAGAATGGGTAAAAATAAAAACCTAATTATGAACACAGGTTTCAGGCTGCCAAGACTTTATCTATAATGATTCCAACAATGCTCTTCCTTTTGCAACTTGATATCGGTAAATTATATATACCATGCTTTTTGACTATCATATTAATTGTTTGTTATTAGATGCCTACTTTTTGCAGCTGCCATATTAATTTTCGCCTACTTAATGACCGTAAAACTGCTTCTTATGACTCCTTTTTGACTTTCTTCAGGGTAAGATTTACACCATACTGTCTCGCTCAGCTAACTTATTGTCTTAAAAATAGATTTCCAAGCTGTGCCCCTACTTCAAGCCCCCTTTTGCATTCTGCTCAAATATCATCGTTGTCAAAAACTGTATACGCACTGGCTGACAAGAATAGTAAACGTACGCTCGACTTAGGACTGCTCGCCTTTCAGTTGTCTTGCTGATTCTCTGCCTCGCTGTCTTACTGCGCCAATAACTCTCTTTAGTAAACATAACTACGTAATTCTGTTCTCCACTTGTTCATTGTATTTGACGTGAAACCCATGGTTATAAAACGATATACTCTTTTACTTCCCCTGATAACTATTGTACCCCCAAACAAGTATACCGTAAGGTAAGTTTTATAATTTGGAATGTGTAAATAAATCTAGTGTGTATACGTGTTTTTTTTACATAATAAAATTTTTTTCATCCCATCAATCCTATTATTAAGCCCATTTGAATACATCTTTTTCTATAATTTAATCCAATAACCGTAAAGCATACCTGAATAGATGCTATAATTAATCCAGTAATAAAAATGAATTCATCATCATCTTGATTATTAAAGCCAATGATGTACGATCTTATACAAGATAAGACGAATATCAAGCCAGTAATACCAAAGCTATATTATGAATCATCAAAGAAGCAGCCAGTATCATGTCCCCATCTATCAAATTTAGTCCAATGAAACGATGCTATATATCCAAGTATTAAGATAATTAATCCATAAGGACGGTACAGTCTTTAAGATCATTAATGCAAAAGGATGGTGCAGGTATTACCATAATTAACCAGCCATAACCGGAGTTCCAGGTATTTGTATATTTAACCGAGTCCGGGCATAACCCATCAATTTGAATATTTAACCAGTCATAACTGGTCTTAACTGTGTAATAATTGGATTATTTAGGGACTGTTAAAAGTAAGATATAGAATATAGATTTCTCTTTTGAATAATTGTTCGATGTATTTATATTGTTCAAAATAGTTAAAAGGCATAAGTTCGGATGTAGTAGCATAGATATAGTTTGTCATAGTAATTCGCATAGATGGCACACAATGATCCTATCAGGCAAAAGATCATATGTCGATAGTAGTTGATATTTGAATTACCACAAACCTGACTTGCTAAACGTTACATACTTCCCCCTTTAGAAGGCTCACCCATATCGGCAGCGGATACCCAGGGACGAAGATGTTTTACATTGGCGGTTGTTCGGCCCATAGCACCAGAAGTACCTTGTTTTTGAATTACCCAAGAAGTACCGTCTTCATTATTCTTAGCCAGAATGATCCAGGGACCAGACAAACGCTGTTTGGGAAAAGTCAATTTTTCCAAATTTCTTCTCTTCACTAAGGTTGTTCTCAAGCAAAAAAAAATCTTCAGATCTGATCTGAACTGAAGTTCGCCATTTCAATTATAAAATCAATTATTTCGTGGAACAATAAATTATTTATTGAAAATACTAAAACTACTAGACAAAATCGTACCTTTTTTACAAAACTTTATACAAAAATGAATCCTGAAATAACCAAGTCTCGTAGAGAGAAGATGCTTTATATCGCAAAGTATATGCCACTTCTTCTTCAGAAACTTGAAGAAGATGAACATGTCATGACATGTGAATCTGTGAAGATCGTCATGGAAAAATACCACCAGATTTTATTGACGGCAGTAAACGTAGTTCCTAGAGTAATGTTTACGCAGTTCGAAGAAGACGTGTTCCAGTCTAGTCCTATCCACTTTAGACTCATTAAAAACAAAGGATACTGGTCCTTTACTCATGATAATTTGAGGGATGATGACAAAACTCAAAGCTACAAGGCGCACTATAGAATGAAAAAGGCAACATTCAATCAACTGATCGAAATTTTGGATCAACATTCCGCTTTTGATTTGAAAGCGCATAACAGTACACCCACGTACATGCAAGTGGCAGTGGTCCTCTGGCGCTTTTCTAATTGTCATTTCGGGTACAGAATGATGGAAGCAACTTTGGGATTTGGCCAAGGCTCCCTCTTCAATTTTACGGAAAGGTTTCTCGAGGCAGTAAATGACCAATTGGGCCACTTGATTTCATGGCCATCAACCGAAGATGAATTCCGGAAGGTAAAGCACGGCTTCGAGTTCCCTTACCCGGATGATTTGTCAATTAAACGATTGCCAAATGTCATTGGAGCTGTTGATGGCAAGTTAATTGTCATTCACAGACCAAAGGAAACGTCCGAGAGCTATCGTGATCGTAAGTCGAATCTCTCTGTGAATTTGACAGCTGTTGTCACTTCTGAATGCAAGTTCAGTTATGTGTATGCCGGTGAAAGTGGAAGGTGTCATGACGCACACGTTTTCAGCGAAAGCGATATCGCTAAGGAGATGTTGTTGAATCCTGAGAGGTACTTTTTCGAAGATGCGTATATTCTGGGAGATTCGGCGTACCCATTGAGCTACCATGTCATTACGCCGTACTCTCAGCTTGAATCCGATCTTGATCCCAACAAAGCAAGATTCAACGCCAAGCTTAGTGCAATGCGCCAGGTTGTTGAAAGAGCATTTGGTATCCTTGTGAAGCGATGGAGATTCCTTTGGAAGTATGTGTACATCCAAGACCAATTACGTTTGGTCAAAATCGTTAATACCAGCTGTATTTTGCATAACTTTTGCATCAATGCTAATGATACTTTTGGTATAACTGATGAAGAATTAGTCGAGTTGTCACTTGCTTCAGGAAGTGATCGTCCAGCAACATTTGAAACAAACACTCCTTTGGAAAGAACTGCTGGAGGACAACGACGAGATCTTTTAAACGTGTATGTTAACACGTTCTTGAACTAGTTTAAATAAAAAATATTTAACATGAAATTTATTTTAAACCATTTTCCATCAATTCAAGAAACTTCTTGTAAAACTCCTTCTTCTCTTCAGATTCAACGTGTTGAACAACAAGAGGCTTGCTCATAATCTCCTCGAGCTTGCTTGTCATGCCTTTCGTGATTTGCTTCATCTGTTCCAAAGCTTCATCTCTAGACTTCAATCGAGCTAGCTCCTTTTCCTCCTTGACAGATTTCCTCTTCTTTTTTTGTTCGCCTATGGAGGCGGAGGGAGGGAAAGAGGGAGGGGGGCAAGAATCTTCGGAGACGACAACATCATCACTGTTCTCCTCGTCATCTCGAACACTATAAGCTCTTTTGACGGAGCTATAGGTGGCCTTTGGGTGAAGCTGGGGGTCCTTATGCAAATAATCATGCATTTTTTGAAGGTACCCAAGAAGTGGGCCACCTCCCGAACCGGTCGACTTAATGGTCTCCTTTTTGTTCTGATACTTTGTTTTCATAGCACCATATTTCTCGATAAGAGCTTTTTCGGACCTGAAACAACCTTCATTGTCGGGAAGGAGGGCTTGGCGCTCGTTGTATTCCAACGTCAACGCTTTCCAATGCTGATTGTTGATTTGAACTCTGTTTGGTGACAAAATATTGTTGTGAGTATTGATAGCCAAATAGTAGCGTCCATATAATTCTGCAATATGGTACATATCATCTTTGGTATACTGTTTCTTAGTAATAATCTTTTCCTTTTGTTCGAATATGTTTTGTTGCTCCATGGTAATGTATTTATGAAAAAGAAAGAAAAGAAAATTTGGATTTTTTAAAAAAATTGGATAATATTCGTGAAATTAGAAATCATGGGAAATTTCCTTTTATATCACTTCGGTAGACTTCAGATGGATTTTTTTCATCTGAAGTTTACTGAAGTTTTTATTACACAAAATCCCATAGAAGGTAACTCCGCACTTCAGTTCAGATCAGATCTGAAGATTTTTTTTTGCTTGAGAACAACCTAAGTCACCAACTTGATAGACATACTTAACTGTACCAGCAGGATCATAAAACTTCTCTTGTTTAGCTTGAGCTTTACCGATCTTCGAGAGAGCATCAGCATGTAAAGCGGGGAGATGTTGATTCAAATATATCAACCATCTTTCACTTTCGTAAATCTTTGGTTGCAAAGCCTTAAGATCAGCACCAACAGGAACATCAGGAGTGCGACCATATAATAACTCAAAAGGAGAATATCCAGTAGACGCATGTTTGGCAGTGTTATAAGCATACGTTACGAAAGGCAAATATTCATCCCAAGTCAAAGGATCATCATGGACATAAGTTGCTGATCCATCTTTCAAGGTTCTATTAAACCTTTCAACCAGACCATCCGTATTTGGGTGTTCCACACTTCTTAGTGAGCGTTTAATATCTAAACGAGAACAAACAATATTCCTGGCATCTGATACAAAGTTTGAGCCATTATCTGTGATGAGTCTGCGTATTATACCAAACCTGAGAACGAATTCAAATAAAAGAACTTGCGCCACATGGTCAGAATCGAAAGAAGGCAGTACTGCGGTAATTGCCCATTTTGTCAAATACTCCATAATCACCAAAATGTAAGAATTACTCTTCTTGGTGGTGAGCAAAATAGCAATGTCAGCTGCCCAAATTTCACCAACATCAGTAGGAGTGATACTTTTAAGAGGAGGAGCGGTATTCTTAGTATCGGTCCTGTAAAGTTGACACTTCGAACAACCACGAATCCAATTTCTCACATCTTCTATCATGGAAGGCCACCATTCCACTTGCTTCACCTTAGCCATAGTCTTGTCAAAACCAAAATAACCACCAGTCGGACTGTCATGCATCATCTTCAATACCGAGGCTATCAATTTGCGTGGTAACACGGGAACATTCATCTTGCCGAATACACCATTGTTGTAAGAGAACGTTTTACTAATTGACTCTAACTTTTCTTCTCCCTTTTGAAGAGCGGAGACGACATGATCTTCTTTTTGTAAGGCAATTAAAGAAGGAACGTCCATATCTTGAAGATTGATACTAAACGAAGACACTTGCACTTGTTAATGTTGTCGACTCAACGCTTCAGCATCAATATTGTGTACACCTTTTGTGTGTACAATGTTAAAACGATAACTTTGAATAGTTATGATCCAACGGGAAAGCCGACCACGAGGCATTTTTGTTGTCAAAATCGATTTCAAAGCCATACGATCTGCAAAAATGGTGAATTCAGCACCAGAAATGTAACAGTAAAAGTAGTCGAGTGACCACACCAGAGCCAAACACTCTTATTCAGTTTTACTATAATTTTGCTCGGCAGCTGCCAAAGACCGACTAGCAAATGCAACAGGTCTACGATGTTGAACTAACACTGCACCAATACCAACAGAACTTGCATCTGTTTGTAGATCGAACGGGGCTTGTGAATCCGGATATGCCAAAGTTGTTAAGTTACACACAGTCTCTTTTAAGTTTTCGAAAGATAAGAGACGATCCTTGGTCCAAGTAAACTGTTCATCTTTCTTCAATAAACTGTACAAAGGAGCTGCAATCATTGCCAAATTCTTAATAAATATGTGATAAAAACACATACAGTATACCTAAAAAGCGTTGCAGCGCTTTAACGGACTGCGGTAAGGGCCAATCTCGGATAGCAGCTGTATTGTCCGGATTTGCACGAATTCCACCAACACCGACGAGAAAACCCAGAAATTTGACTTCCGGCTGGATCCATTCGCATTTGTCGTGAGAAATCTTAAGATTGAATTCTTGTAATCTTGCTAACACCCATTTCAAACTTACCAAATGCTCTAAGAGGGTGTCATCAAAACAAATTATATTATCCAGGTACACCATGACATTCTTCAAACCAGTAAGAACTCCTTTCATGAACCGTTGAAAAGTAGGCGGACTATTAGTTACATCGAAAGGGAGTACATTAAACTCGTACAGCGAACCATTCGCCAAAAAAGCAGTTTTTTGCTTGTGTTCATCAGCTACAGGAATATGCCAGTAACCAGCTTTTAAATCAATTGTGGTAAAATAATTATTACGGTTCAACTGGACCAACAATTCCGAAATTCTAGGAATTGGATACTTGTCCACCATTGTCACGCGGTTCAAGTTTCGGTAATCCACACAAAAACGCTTTGTACCCTCAGGCTCGTTCACCAACACCACAGGAGATGACCAACGGCTATCGCTAGGTTGAATTACACCTTTCTTCAGATACTCGGTAACATTTTATCAATCAACCCAATTTCAGCTGGGGGCCTGCGATAATCCCGGGTAGCAACAGGAGAAACGTCAGCAGTTTCAATACCATGCTTGTACAGCGCATTAGTTAACACGTCTTGTTCTTCAACCGCAGTGAGTCCAGGAAATTCACTTAACAAATCCTACGTAATCTGAGCTATATCCTGAGAAGAATTGAAATGAGCACTATTTACTTTAAATATTTTTTTCAAATGGGTGATTAACCAAATCTCCTCAAATTCCATCCAATCCATGCCAAGGATATCTTCTCATTCTGATCCGCAACTACGTATACTTGTGCTACAGTAGACATAATATCTTTGGTACTGAACTCCAAAGATGCTAAGCAATCGGTATGTTGAATCGTGCCATTACCATACTCGATGTCAATTCCAGGGCAAGAAGTTACTGACAACCCAAATTCTTGTGCTGTGACTAAATTAATGGAGCTAATCATAGATCCAGTATCGACCAATACCGTCGGCAATTTTCTTCCATCAGACATAGTAGCGTCAACATAAAAACGACCCTTACCCTCGTCGACGTTCGCTACATTCATCTTAAACCTAGAAAAATAGAAGGAAGTACTTCTTTAACAGGATTCTCTGTTACCTGACTATTCTGTTTTCTAGAATAGTTACGGAAATGACCATCATTTCCACGTGAGCCGTTACCCGAATCACGATAATTTCCACCATTATCACGGCTAATTCCACCATTATCACGGTTATTTCCACCATTATCACGATAATTTCCACCACTGGGTTTGCTTCGACAATCTTTCTTGAGATGGCCAGGTTTCTTGCACCGATAACATACTCTTGTTTCCCGATGTTGTTGAGCGTTCTGAGACGTAGGATACAAACTAGGAGTTAATGAAGTAACAGGTAACACCGAAGCGGAGTTGCCATTTCCAGCCGTATTCAAATGAGCTTCCATACGAGAACAAATAAGAATTGCTTCGTCAAATGATTGAGGATCCTTCATGATCAAAGTCTCGCCCAACTTGTGAGGAAGTTTTCCACGCAAATAATCTAACTGCAGATTAAGGGCAAAAACGTTAGCTCGGTTGAATAAACTGATTAATTTTATACCGAATTCATGCATCGGCATGGCTCCTTTGGACAAGTTCTTCAATTCTTGTAAAGCAGCTTCATTTGTACTCAAACCACCGGCATACTGTTTCAAGAAAGCACCAGAGAACAGATCCCACGACCGTTGGGTCGGATCAGGCAAAGCCACAAACCAGGTGAAGGCTGTACCATCCAAATACATGGGAAGGTCCTTCATTCTTGCTACCTCAGAGACACCATCATACTTCGAATACCATTGGTATTTCGACAACCAAACGCGAGCATCTTCAGAATTGGTCAGATTCTTCGGATCAAACGGAATAATTTTACGATACCGCTTGCTACCACTAGTCTGAGCAGTAGACTCATCCACACCGTGCGATTTATCGACAGGTCCTCTTGTTTGACCCATTGCTTGTTGGACATAAGCACGTACTTCTTCCATGATATTGTTTGCTTGCAAGTAATTGTTTGGCAAACCAACACCATTATTTGATGCCATCAAGTTAAATACCTCTTGAGGAACATGCAGTTCATAACAGTCTTGCAAGGTTGGCCAACTGTTTTCCGTAATCAAGGTCTTCAGAAAAGCACCTGATCTTCTATCTAATTGACCTAGCTGCGAAGATAACCATTGACTTTCAGGCTCAACCAAAGGTTCTAAACGATTGAGTTCAGTTTCAATCGTTTGTTGCTCCCATTTGTAGTCCGTAACCGTAGGTAAAAGGCCAGCCTGTTGAGCGGGAGACGCAGTTAAAAGAACAATTTCCAATGTAGCCAAATTTGTGTTCATTTACAACAATAAATTCTGACGTTAGGGGACGACCAACTCTCACATACTCACTGACTTCAACGAACTTTTGCTTCAGATGCAAGTAAAAGTTCTTGGTAGTCTCTCGGACGTGTTCAGTTTCAGGATTACTACGAGTACCATCCCCTTCATCAGACGAAGTATCGGCATCAGCAACCGGTACATCCGGAGGAGGCATATGAGGAGTAAACGTAGCAGAATTGATACCCAGAGGGTTACTTCCTGAAGGATTGTTACTACAAAGAGGAGGGTTACTTCCAGAAGTTGGGGGGTTACGATTTTCTTGTTGGGACATGTTTAGCTACTCCACCACTGTAGTAATTATATTACTTAGGGACTGTTAAAAGTAAGATATAGAATATAGATTTTTTTATTGAATAGATGTTCGACGTATTTTTTTTGTTCATAATAGTTAAAAGGCATAAGTTCGGATGTAGTAGCATAGATTTAGTTTGTCATAGTAATTCGCATAGACGGCATACAATGATCTTATCGGGCAAAAGATCATATGTCGATAGTAGCTGATATTTGAATTACCACAAACGTGATTTGCTAAACGTTACAAACTGTATGTAAAAAAGTACGAGTGCTGAATCGGAAACAGTTTCGATTCCAGCAGCCACCAAAGTCCAAGGGGCAGAAATAAGAGGCAGCTCTTCAGCAACGTTTCCGGGGATATTAACAGTGTTTGTCCTATAAAGTTTGGCAGTGCAGCCGTTGCCATTCCAACAGAAGCATTTCGTTCTGGCCAATTCTGGACAATTTGGAACGAACATGACCCGCAAGACGACACGAAGGACAAACAGTAAGCACACCTTCGAAAGTCGCCGACACGTAACAGTCCGATTCTTCAAGATACAAGTTGTTTGTGAGAGGCCCATTCTTGACTTTAGAACCGAAGCCTTTAATGTAACCGGCAGAAATATCAAGAATCACCGACAGGTCATCCTCAAAATAACCTGCACAAGTGTACTATTTCACCTGGAACACCCCAACATAATATCGGAACGAACGTTTTTAATCCGCCAAAAATGCTTCTTTAGCCGGAATTAGCAATAAGTCATTTTGACATGGACCAAGTTATTTTTACTAGAAAGAGCTGAAGGAGTACCTTTGAAAAGCATGTCCTAAAAGTTGAATCCTTGAGACACAGCTTTTGTAGTGCTGGTAGCACTTGCAAACTTTACTAAAACCTTGATCTCACCAGAGGAGGGAGTACCATAGTTGCTGATTGGACCGAACCCCTGAACAGCTCCACATTGACCTTCAATTAACTCATACACTTAAATTCGTTGTTAAAAAAGACGACCGAAAAATGAAAACAAATCAGAACCAGGAGTTAAAGCTTGCTTGACAATGGAGCCAGCCTTCTTCAGAATGACTTGGAAATCTAGATCCTAAAGTTCAAAAATTACCCTACTTTGTACTGGCAACCTAGAATCACTCTCGTTCGAAAAAGATCACGGACGGAGAACGTTTTTAGAAATACCATGGGCAGCCACGGTAGACCGAAAAGTTAAATTATTGTTCACCGTCTTTCAAAGATCGATGAGGAAAATTAAATTGGCAATTGTTAATGTTGAGAAGGTAATAGCGGTTACTAGTCTTCGTTTATGTCAAGATTGATGTCGAGATCGAAAGCGTATTAATTGAACAGTATAGAGCAGGAGTTTTTTTTTTCTGTATTAACTGTAAGTTTATTAGATATATAAAGTAATTATAAAATTAGCCCGAAGGCGTCACTAATCTATCACTACGAACCAAAGGGGATTGAGTTTCTAGAGTATCAGCAATACGTACTGAGTGATCTTGTTGAAACATGTTAAGAGCAGCTTGTGAGTTCCACAGATCACCATCAATCACACAGCGCCAATGGTATTTCCAAAGTGTTGCTACTCCAGAGCCAAGAATAACAAGCATATCCGACGATAGAGGCTTTTGGTTTTGACCGCAGAGAGATACAAAACCGGACCAAATATCATACTCAGTTTCGAATGTGTCACCAATGCTAAGAAGAGAGATCACCTTACACCAGTACTGCCACTTATCGAAACAGCCCACCACAAAATGGAACAAGTCTTCGGAAGAAGAGACTAAACAAATAGGGCGGCTGGCACAAGGATACTTAGTAGGAGACCACCGTTGTAGTTTAGCCCTATAACCTATACAATCTTGAAGTAGTCGCCACCATGGAGTGAAGGCCTTACTCGTCATATTCAAGGACCAAAAGAGCCGCCATAAGGAAGGCCGGAGTAAGAACCGGGTTGGAACCACCTGAGGTATGACGGCGCGAATATCAAACTTCGCACGATCTGGATGCCAATACCAACGAAGATTTCCTGGACGTATACTAGAAAGAGTAACCATGTTACCACGGCCTTGGCAATTAGTCCAAAGATAAAGCGCTGCCAGCCATGCCGGGAGCAGAACATCGCGGTTTGATTGATTAGTAAAGCTGTTGGAAGAAAACCAGTTGCAGCAAACCAGCCATCGGATGGATACAAGGGTCGTCGAACCTCTTTCACTTTGCTAGCATTGACGTTTCGTGTATTTCGCAAGTTGTCGGTAGACTGGCACAAGGATACCTAGTAGGAGGCAACAATAATATTTAATGGATTGATAGATTTTTTTTTTGTATGAAATAATGGATTGATTTTTTTTTTGTATGTAACAGTGAGTTTATTTAACAAGATAGACATAGAAGTAAAAAAGGGAAAGCTAAACTATTTCGGTTTAGCAACCTTTGTCTTCGTAAACATTTTGTGACCTTTAAGAGCAGGTTGCGTCTGGACAGCTAACTTAGGAGCAGGACCTTTGGAGGTTTGCTTGATAGCCTTCTGTTTACCCAAAATGGGACGCTTTTGTCCTAGCATTTTTCTTCCACAGTCAGCCATTTTACCAGTCACATGTGATGTCTGAATTGTCACGGGTAATGTACCCTCGTCTTCTTCTATTTCCATGCACACCGTATCTACAGTTGTGGCATACTTAGACGTTGTAGAACCACTTTCTGCAATCTTCGAAGGCTGGTACGCATCTGACAGGTCTGTATCAGAATCGGAGATAGCCTGTTCAACAATCGTGGGCAGCTCGATATTAGATTCCTCCTTAGGAGTATTGACTTGCACTGGCTGAAACGTTTTCTTTTTACAAAACTTCGCGGTATGACCATAACCTTGACAAGCGAAGCATTTGGTTTTGGCCAGTTCGGGACATTTGGAGCGTACATGACCGGCATGGTGACACCAATGACAAACGATAGGGGCACCTTTGAAGGATGCTGAAGCAAAACAATCCCATTCGTACAGAAATAAATTATTGGTGAGCGGCTCATTGGGAAACACTGCACTATCATCGCCAGAATAACCGGTAGACGTATTGAGTATCACTGACAATTCGCCTTCGAAATAGCCACCACAAGTGTACTCCTTGACTTGCAAGACTTGTCCGTAAACAAGAAGAGAGTTCATTAACTTTTCAAGAAATTCCTTCTTATCAGGAATGTATAAAAGTGAGATCTTCACATGTGCCAGCTTGTACCTTTCGGAATTAATTGTATAAGTTCCTTTGATAACGGTGTTCTTGATTGTAACACCAGTACAAATTGCCTTGTCAAGACTTGAGTCATCAACAAATCTGACTTCAATCAAAAGATCAACATTTAAGCTCGAGCCATAATTACTGATTGCGCGAAAACCATGGACCGGGCCACATTGCGTTTCAATAAGCTCGTATGCTTCGGTACGATGTTCGATTAAGGAAGCGGGAAAGGAGAAGAGAGCAGAGTCAGGTGTCAAAGCCTGTTTCACGATTGCGGTAGCCTTCTGCATTCTGATGATACTGTCAAGCACTTCATTTTGGTAGATTACCTTACTTTGTAACTTGAATTGAGAATCCATATTGTTGGAGACAGACAAAGGGCGAATTACTTTCTTGGATTTACCAAGGGACGCGATTGTTGCCCAAGATTCGGAAAGAGTTTCTGCCATTGTTTAATGATCCAGAAAGAAAATTAAAATTGGAGATTTGAGATTTGAGAATAGGTCCTCTCAAGTTGAATTTTATAATTTGAAATTAATTTTTTTATATATAAGGAATGATAATGACCAAATTGATAAAAATAAATAAATTCTCAATTCGTCAAATTTAATTCTTTTACAAAAAGGGACAAAAAATAAAAAATGAAATCAGGATCGATTTGATCCTAAATTGAAAAATAGAAGCTCAAAAAGGAAGTGATAAAATGACAAAATGAAATAAAAATCATGCAAAGCGAATTTTTATTTTAAATTTATTTTGTCCTCTTTCATTTTTCTATCTTCTTTGATACAACTTACTTTATAATGAACAATTTATCTACTACTGTTACGGATATAACCAACGAAATGGAAAGCAACATCAATAACAGCGGTAATAATCAAATTAACAACAACACCAATACCATCGGCAACACCACCAGAGATAGTCATACTATCAACGACAATATTGCTATGAATGAGTCCAGAAACGTTACCTCCTCTAGAGGTACAGGTGGTAGTAGAGACACTAGAGGTACGAGAGGTACCAGAGCTAGAGGTAACAGAGGTAGAGGAGGAAGATCTAGAGGACCTAGTACAGCCACAGGCGCAAACAACTGGGTCTCTGTCAACTTCGATGGACAAACAGCTTTAGAAAGTCAGGTACCAACTAACACTAATATCATTAGACAGCGAGCTAGTGATCCCGTTAATCAAGTATGTACAAATGTTCCCATTTCCCAGCCACCTGTCCATATGTCAGACAATGCAATTGTCGAAGAGCCCAGTGAAGGTGGAACTACAAGTCGCAGTTATTTGGTATGGCCGAAGAAGGCCAAGGATATCTTGCTGGAAATTACCACGGAGACGCACCTTGTTTTAGTTGAAAGAAGTGATACGAACATGAAGAAACTTATTTGGAAGTATTCTACAATTTTGATGAAAAAGAAACTATTGGAGAGTAACCCCACCGATGCCGAAAAACCTTTTGCAGAGAAAGTTACATCAGAGCAGATGCAAACACAATGGGCTGGAATGAGAAGAAGATATACAACACGACGTGACGAGACTCGTGTTACTGAAAATGGGGGTGAATCACCTGAAGCTGAAGAGTACTATGCTGTGGGTGCCATTACAAGAGATGATCCCAGTATCAATCCTCAGATCTTGTTCGAAACAGTTAACATGGAGGAGACTGGTATTCACATATATGATATTGATCAAGATGAAGATCTTCAACGAGTAGTGGAATCAAATCAATCTGCAGTTGAAACTGGTCGCCATTATAGAAGCAATGGTGTACAAAATCTTCTGGGTTTAGGTAGAATTTTGTATATGGATGACACAGAAGTTAAAAGAGAGATGATCAACAAAGCCAGACGAGAACGCTACCCAAGCGCATCTCTTAACCCTCCTCTTCCCCGGTTAGCAAGACAAAGCTCTTTCTTCGTCGAAGATATAACCAACGAGCATAGCAATTCATCCGACTCAGATGCAGAGTCAATCAATATTCGTCCCCCTTCATCATCTCCAATTACACCTGATGCCAATATTCGTACTTCTGCTAATTCCAATCCTATCACGCCAAACCCGTCAGCGTCTAACCCTTCCACATCCAATCGTTCCTCACTCCATCGTCCCTCCTCCAACCGTCCCTCCTCCAATCGTTCCTCATCAAATATTTCTAACCCTCGCGCCACTTCCATTCATTCTGACTCAAGCAACAACGCCCCTTCTTTGATCACCAATAATGTTGCCAATAATTCTACCTTTGATCCAATTGAAAGAATTCAACAAATTGCCAATAATGCTCAGTCTTCCAATCGTGAATTTATGCAAACAATAATGACATTGGGAGTCCAAGAGCGTGAACAAAGACAAATCGATCGTGATGCTTTTTTGACGGGACTGGAAGAGAGTAGAAGAGCTACCATGAATGAAATGGCTGAAAGAAGACGAGAATTGATGCGCGAGAGACATGCCTTGTATGAAGAGTCGGCTGAAAAAAGAAGAAAGCATTTAGAAGAAACTTTTGAAAAGTATCACATGTTAACAAATATTCGTTCTAACAACGAAAACAATTAGTTTTTTTTTTCTTTTCATAATAAAACCGTTCTCGTGAAATATTTTTCTTGACTGAGCATCTACAGTTGACAAATGTTATCTTGCTTTCTAACTAAAACTTGCCACAAAATAATACGATGAATTGTAAGTTTTAATATGATAATAAATAAGAAAGAAAAAAAAACCGTGCATAAATAAAAAACAACGTGCATAAATAAAACAAATTTATGCATATTCATCTGAATGTGAAAAATCAGCTTCGTCTTCTTCTTGATCGGATTTCGTCAAAACATTGGCTTGTTCGACTTGCCTATACGATTCCAAAAGAGTGTTACGGTGAGCTATAGCTAGTCTTTTAAGATCACGTAAAGCAGCAGTGGTCATCGTCGTAGGCTGTAATGTAGGATCTGATGGATGAGCGGGTACTACATTATTGGGGAGAGGTGTAGGATTTTGAAGAGATATTTCAACATCAACTCTTCTACGTATTGTAAAGAATTTTTACAAAAGGTATTTGCATCCAAAAAACTTGTTTCGGCAATATCTCGGTGAATTCTATCCATCCATCCAATTTTCTTTTTGCATTCGACGCGTCTTTGCAAGCTCTATCTTTTTTAATTATTACGCTTTCACCAATCTCTTCGATCTCGCCTTCAATTTTGACATTTAAGACATTTGTGAAAACATTCTCCCGTATTTGCACATTTAAAATCGACCCTCTTAATTTTCCCTCTGGATTATTTAACAATGTCAAATCAAGATCATGTTTCCTGGTCAACTGTGGCTTTTCGCGGTGCCTCCAAGAAAGTCCTGCGTCCTCTTCCTGTCTCTCCCGAGACTGATTCTCAATTCAAGTTGAAAGGTAACACCCTTTTCCATCATCCTGAACTTGATTACCAAATTATGGTACGTCAAGCTGCTTCTATTGTCAAGCAAGCACTGACGCCTGGTTCTGTTTTGTTTTCGTTCCCCGCGTCACTTTTTAAGCATCGTAGAGAAGCTTATGAACTCATTGAAGCTCAATGTGGTACTGTCCAAGGATTTCGTCCCATTAGCAATTATGGTACTCGCTCTGCAGGTGAAATCATGGTTGAAGTTAAATTTGTAATGCCAACAAGCACTACAAAGGCAATCACTCACGGTGTTAATCACAAGAACTTGTTGTTTAAAGGCTCTCCTTCTGTTCATAGTGGCAACAATACACTTGTGCATGTCAAGATGACTCTTTTGCGAATTCCGGACAAGGATACGTTTCTGGCGGATCTAAACGATCCTTGCGTTATTACGGTGAAGTGTACCAGGTGAAACAGTACACTTGCAATGGGTATTTTGAAGGTGAGCTGTCGGTTATCCTTGATATCTCGGCTGGCTATATTGATGTTTCTGGTGACAAGGTCAAGAATGAGCCACTCACGAATAATTTGTACTTGGAGGAATGGGACTGTTTTGCTTCGGCATCATTTAAAGATGCACCCACGGTTTGTCACTGGTGTCGTTTGACTAGAAACGCAAGGTCTAAATGCCCGGAGTTGGCGAAAACCAAATGCTTCTCGTGTCGTGGTAGTGGACATACCGCCAAGTTTTGCAAAAAGAAGAATCTTGGTGTTACGGAACTGCCTGTTTTGGATAAGATCCCAACTGATCTTCCCTCCCCCACCTTTGAGAGCTTCCACGCTCAAGTGCTGTCTGACTCGGACACAGATATTTCTGACGTGTCTACGTCCCCCAAGTTTGAACCAAGTGGCTCTGCAGCTTCTAAGCTTGCAACCACTGTTGCTAGTGTATACATGGAGGTTGACAATCACATGAATACTACCACTCCTGCTTCTTCGACGGCAATTGGAGGCTTTCTTTCGCTTAAAGAATTTTTACAAAAAGGTATTTGCATCCATACTCTTGTTTCAACGATATCTCGGTGAATTCTATACATCCATCAGAAATTTTTATTGCATTCGATTCCTCTCTATCGGTTCTATCATTTTTATTTATTACGCTCCCCTCCATCTCTTCGATCTCAGCGTTTATCGCGACATTTAACCAATCCGGCAAAGATTTCAACATTCTCAATTCTCAATCTCCAATTTTAATTTTCTTTCTGGATTATTAAACAATGCCAGAAAATCTTCACAATTCCTGGGCAACAATCGTGTCCCGTGGTAATTCCAAGAAAGTTGTTCGTCCTTTATCTGTCCCTAAAAACGTGGACTCTCAATTCAAGTTACAAAGTAAGGTCATCTACCAAAGTGAAGACCTTGAAGGCCTCATCAGAATGCAGAAGGCTACCGAAATAGTGAAACAGGCCCTGACACCTGACTCCGCTCTTTTCTCCATCCCTGCTTCGTTAATCCAACATCGTACCGAAGCATATAAGCTTATTGAAACGCAATGTGGTCCTGTCCATGGTTTCCGCCCAATCCGTAATTATGGTTCCAGCTTAGATGGTGATCATTTGATTGAAGCCAAATTTGTTGATGACTCAAGTTTTGACAAGGCAATTTCTTCTGGTGTTACAATCAAGAACACCGTTATCAAAGGAACCCATTCAAATGATAGCGAAGTGAAGAAGCTTGCCCACGTGAAGATATCACTTTTATATATTCCTGATAAGGAGGATTTTCTTGAAAAGTTAATGAGGTCTCTTCTTGTTTACCGAGAAGTCTTGCAAGTCAAGGAGTACACTTGTGGTGGATATTTCGAAGGCGAATTATCACTGATACTCGATACGACTACCGGTTATTCTGATGATGATAATGAAGACTATGCCAATGAGCCGCTGTCGAATAATTTATATTTGTTCGAATGGGATTGTTTTGCTTCGGCATCCTTCAAAGGTGCCCCTATCGTTTGTCATTGGTGTCACCACGCCGGTCACGTACGCTCCAAATGTCCGGAATTGGCAAAAACCAAGTGCTTCGCTTGTCAAGGTTATGGTCATACCGCGAAATTTTGTAAAAAGAAAACGTTTCAGCCAGTGCAAGTCCATACTCCTAAGGAGGAATCTAATATCGAGCAGCCTACGATTGTTGAACAGGTTTTGTCCGATTCTGATACAGACCTGTCAGATGCGTACCAGCCTTCGAAGATTGCTGAAAGTGGTTCTTCAACGTCTAAGTACGCCACAACAGTAGAAACGGTGTCCATGGAAATTGAAGAAGACGAGGGTACGTTACCGGTGACAGTTCCGACTTCCCATTTGGCTGGCAAAATGTTTGATGGTGGAAGAAAAATGCTAGGACAAAAGCGTTCCATTTTGGGTAAACAGAAGGCTATCAAGCAAAACTCCAAAGGTCCTGCTCCTAAGTTAGTTGTCCAGACGCAACATGCTCTTAAAGGTCACAAAATGTTTACGAAGACAAAGGTTGCTAAACCGAAATAGTTTAGCTTTCCCTTTCTTACTTCTATATCTAACTTGCTAAATAAACTCACTGTTAATACAAAAAAAAAAAAATGCTTCTTCGACGGCTGGTCCGATGGTCGAAGTTACTAGTGGCGCTATAAAAGTTGCTGGTGCCAAGCGCTCGGTTTTAGGTAAGCATTCTGTCCCGAAATCAGGCGTTAACGGTCCGCTTCCCAAATTGGTGGTTCGCACACCATCCAGTTTAAAAGGTCATAATTTGTTCACGAAGACAAAGGTTGTTAAAAAATAATTTTTTTAATTGTCCCTTTCGATTTCTATATTTTTTTTATTGCTAAATAAACTCACTGTTAATACAAAAAAAAATCTCTTCTACGTATTGTCGTTGCACTGATAAACCCAGCATATTCCAAATTATCAGCTTCAGAAGATTCTTCGATGTCACACTGATCAATACACACATTGTGCAAAACACAACAAGCCAGAATTGTTTTTGCTATTCGCTTGATGTCAAGCATGTAAAGATGTTTCCATAAACATCTCCATCTAGATGTCAAGGCCCCAAATGCATGCTCAATTTTAATTCTTGAGCTAGAAAGAACAGCATTAAAATCCTTGTATTCTTGTAAAGAATTGTCGTTGGTTGAAAAGGGTGTGACCAAGTTTGAGAGAAGAGTGTAAGCTGAATCTACAAGGTGGTTTTACAATTGAGACATTTATCAGTGAAAACGTATTATATATGATTAACGTATACACACCTCCCAAAATGAAAGTATTTTCAGGACACCATCGAGCACCGTCTGTCAGCATTTTATGATATAGAACACTGCTTGTAAAAGCCCTGGCATCATGGTTTCGTCCTTTGTATGTATTGGTTAAAGCTATAGGCAAGAACAAAGACACTGAACGTCCATTCAAGACATACACTTGCCGGAATGCCCTGTTTTTGCAAACATAAATCTGCACCTTGCATCACACACAGCAGTTAAATTCATCGATGCGTTGTTCTTACAATCCACATGAGCATTTCCATTTACTGATGGCTTCGGGATGGTGACAAGCTTACCGTCAATACATCCGAGAATTCCTTTTAATCTCATGTTATTGGGTTCACCCAGTTCATAAAACTCTTCAGAATTTTCCAGAGCTCTTGCAGAATTACCGATGGGCCAAGAAATTACTTCGTTGCTCATATCTACCATGGCATTAATAAACCTTTCTGTGAAATTTCTATATGATCCTGCTGAATCACCCAAAGTAACCTATGCAATGCGGTATCCAAAATGTGTATTCGCAAATCTCGACAAAACACAACCAACCTGAATTTCTACACTATATCCTCCTTGTACAATTGATCCGGCATAATGAGAGGAGTTGCTTAAACGAGCGACCAACCATTGAAAAGTTTTTTTGTTGATTCGGTAATGCGCTCTATAACTTTTACGACTTTTAGGATCATCGTTTAAATTGGGATGTTTTACAGTCCAATATTGCTCGTAAGTGTCCATCCGGCCAGATCTTACAACTCGAGGGGACCGTTCCCCGCTCATAAAGATGGGGCTACAGTTGTAAATATAATAAAATATGTCGTAGTTGATCAACGTTGACATCATCAAGTTAGATGTTCTTGCCCAAAGACAGCACAAGTCATAGATTAATGGCGCACCTGTGGTACTATTTTCCTCACAAAATAATATATCATCGATAACTTCATTTTCGTGGATAATCATGTCTTCAATCCAGATATCATCTTCCATACCTAAGTCGTCTTCGATTTCGTTCGTTTCCTCATCAATCAAATCCAAATCCAGGTCTTCGTTCACATGTATATCTTGAAATAAAACCATCCAAATTTGCTCTTGCAAATTATCAAAACTGTTATAGTTGTCGATGTCCATGTTATAATGATATTTGATTGTAATTGTAAATAAAAGAGAACTTAATTATTAAAAAATGTGAGGTCTTTTATTTTTAATAAAATTTATAAAAAATCCATATATATCACAAAAAATGAATTTTGGTTCGCTCCTATATTTGGACAAAAAAAAAATTCAACTTGAGAGGACCTAATGCTGAAATCTTTGCCGGTTTGGTTAAATGTCGCGATGAACAGCGAGATCGAAGAGATGGAGGGGAGCGTAATAAATAAAAAAGATAGAACCGATAGAGAGGAATCGAATGCAAGAACAATTTCTGATGGATCTATCGAATTCACCGAGATATCGTTGAAACAAGAGTTCCATTAGCTTTTTTTTTTTTTTTTTTTTTTGTATGAACAGTAAGTTTATTTAGCAATAAGTGAATTATACGTAAAACGAAAGGGGAAATTAAAATGGTTATTTTTTAACAACCTTAGTTTTCGTAAACAAATTATGACCTTTTAGAGTAGGGGGTGTTCGAGCCACCAATTTGGGAAACGTCCCTTTCACGCTCTGTTTAGAGACAGGATGTTGACCTAAATCAGAAAGTTGGGGACTGAGACCTTTATCGGTCCCACCAGTTCTACCAACCAGTTCTGCGTTCGAAGAAGGAAGGGTGGTGGTATCCATTACATGGTCCACCTCTCCAGGCACACTAGCAACAGTAGTTGCAAACTTGGAAGCATCGGAACCACGGGAAGCAATCTTGGGCGATGTACATACATCAGAAATATCAGTGTCTGAGTCGGACAATATATTGGCATCAAGACCATCAGTTGAATCCAAGTCAATATCCTGGGATACTTCAGCGGAAACAGGCTGCCTAACAACGGAACGTTTTCCCCTCTTACAAAACTTGGCTGTGTGACCATGACTATGGCATACAAAACATTTGGTCTTCGCTAATTCCGGGCATTTGGAACGAATATGACCAGCAACATGGCACCAATGACACACTGAAGGAGCACCTTTAAAGGTCGCAGAAGCAAAACAGTCCCATTCGGATAGATACAAGTTGTTTGACAAAGGTACACTATCGTGATATTCATCATCTTCATCCGTGTAGCCTACCACAGTGTTCAGAATGACGGACATCTGACCCTCAAAGTAACCACCACAGGAATACTCCTTGATTTGTATACTTGTCCATAATACGCTAGAGATGCTAACAAATCTTCCAGAAAGGTTTCTTGATCTGGGATACATAAAATCGAGAACTTGACGTGTACGACATTATTGTTGTCAGAAAAATTCGTTCGAAAACCTTTATAAATCTTGTCCTTAACAGAGACACCACTGGTGATAGCCTTCATAGTGCTACCATCATCCAGAAACTTTACCTCTAACAACATGTTGCTGTCAGACGGAACCCCATAATAACTGATGGGTCTAACGCCGTGTAAAGGACCACATTGGGATTCAATGGCCTGGTAAGCCTCGAAACGATGCTTGAATACGGTAGCGGGGAAAGAAAACAAAACAGATCCATCAGTCAACTTTTGCTTTACGATGGACATCGCTTGTTGTGTCAAGATGAGAGCCTCTAGACATTCATCTTCGTAAATAATGGTAGTTGCACGCTTGTATTTAGAATCAGTCTCATCAGAGACATGTATGGGACGAAGAACCTTCTTGGCGTTCCCAA